GTCAAAACCCTACAAAATAAAAAAAGAAGCAACAAAATCGGTTCAGTAGTTCCCGAGAAAATCTTGGCACAGACAGACAGACCAATGGCTAACATGTGTTTTTGGACTCAGGGGGCTCTGAAATGAATAGATCCATCGGAAAATTTACCCGATCGCAATACTTTCCTTACCTAGTATAGGTAGGAAAGTAAAAAAAAGATAGGTTTTTCAGTAGAACATATTTAAACATTTAGAACGGTATATCTCTGCGCCAAAACGTCAGATTCTTTTTTTTTTTTTTTTTTTTTTTGTGTGTCCAGGAAATTTTGCAAACTTACAAATATACAAAAAAGTGTATTGTTTTAGTTATTTTCAAATCTAATTCTGCATTCCTCATCATTTTTCTACCAGCTCCTTTTCAGCGAAGCATGTTATGTACATACATTTACGGGCTTTGATAAGGAGACTTTAGTTAAGTTTCATTAAAATCTTTACATCAATTTAGGTGCTAGTCTTTAGCGACACAGGTTTTTCGACATCCATATTGTAGGGAAAGATCGGACGGCAGTGTCGAGCTCAAAGCTCTTCAATGTGTTTCAATCAATGAACCAAAAATTTGTAAATTATATTATATAAAGCGTAAACTGTGACATGTTGGTTTTAACTATAGCCGATTTGAATCCGGCCTGGGTGGATTAAAATTTATTTTGTGGCGGACCCACGGAATGAATCTCGATCTTCTCACTCTGGTTAGAATAGGCTTAGCCATACTTCTAGAACAGCCTACCCCCCATACCGCATGGCAGAAATGGGAAGTAGGGGGTAATTGAAAAAAAAAGTGCCACTAGTCCGAAAGAGCACGTGCAAAAAAAAAAAAATATGACATTATTTGATCAAAACTTTGAAAGCATTTTTTGCATATTTATAACATTTATATTTTTAAAAATGAAGGTCTGCCAGTCGGATCCTGCTGTCTGTAGAAATGCCGGCCGATTTAAAGAATATTAGGCCATAAACTTGAAAATCGAAACGGGAAATTCATTGCGAAAAATGTGGAAAAAGTTTTTATTTTTTTGACTTGTATATATTGATTTAGAGATGTAAGAAAAACAAAATTGCTAACGCGAATTAACCCAGAATTATTCCATAATTAGCCATTAAGGAAAAACTTTTTACAGCCAAAAAAGCCAAACTTTTCCGATATTGTTTTGTTTTTTCAATTTTATAATTATAATTTGTTAAGTAGTAGTTTTTTGGTCCTCCCAAATATACCAACCACAGAAGCCAGGCCTGGATATGAACTTTATTGCTTGGTTATTAACAACCAAGAAAATTGAAATGAGTTTACAAAACATGTTTATGTTTGTTAAGAATTGAATAAGTTTCTCCCTTATAACTTGAAATACTCAAGTAATGGCAGGGCTATTCTCTTCTGTTTATTTTTACAACCTGGTTTAATCTCAACTTTAATAAATCGCTATATTTTAATTTCTACATAGTGTGGTAACATTCTATAACAGTCGCATAAAGTTAATCCTGGAATTAATAGAAGCCCGTGGATTGTCTCGAAAATATCAAATCTTAGAGTTCCAAAATTCAGGGCCCGGTATGTTTTGTAGAAACCTACAAAATTGGATCTTTATGTCAGCCTCGAAATCATTAAAACTTGATTTGTTTCTTCTCGTTCCACTATTTCACCACTGTTGGAATACTGATACCATTTGAATTTTTCAATTATTTTTATTAAAGCTATGGTTCGAATATGAGGATCGAATTGAGCTTTATCACATCTGTAATCTTTTGACACATGGTTTGTCAAGACTCATTGCTCCTGAGAACAGGGAAAGGTTCTATACAGCTAAATTAAATATGTATATTAGATATATGGTATAAATATACAGGGTGTCCCGTAAGTAGAGGTAAATATTTAAAAGGTTTATTGTAGACATCAAGATCTACAAAAAAGTTCATATAAACAATTGCCCAATTTCCAGCAGAAAAAGTAGGAAATTAAAGTTTTGTATATATTTAAGTGAGTCACGTTTTTTGTTGAATAGGAAGCTAAGGAACTAAAAAAATGTTTGATTTAAGTAATTAAACATTGCTCCCAAGAAAACTAGAAAAAATTTAGTTCAAAGCAAAATAGAGTTTGTCATTGCGAAAACCATTTAAATATGACTGTTGAGTGGACAAACTCAGTTAAGCTCCGTTTAAAAAAAAAAGTCATAAATTATTTGTGATTTTTTTAATCTTATTTTAACTGTAATAAATTACCCGACTTTTAGGAAAAGTTCCTCGTTTAATAAGTTTTAGTCCATATTAATTAAATTGAGTTTTATTAGGCAAATTCTTGAGATTCATCTCAAGTTGTATAAAGAAATTTCTATTCAGTCACCTAATAGTTCTCGTATTTCAGCAATAATGTCTACAATTAACTGTTGCAAAACTTCTATTTATTGTTTTTTCATGACCTGGGATATATTTTAATAAACAAAATTGCCGAAATACATTCCTTATTCATTAATAAAAAAAAATAATAATAATGATTTTTTAAATATTTTTAATGTGAAGTATTTACAAAACTGTTTTTCTTTCAGATCTCTATCATAGGGATCAATCCATATTTATAAATGACAAATTTAATGTTTCTAGTCCTATAATTTATGTTTGAAACAAAAACCGTGATGATTATTCTAATTATTTTCATAAAAACATAAACCTTAGGAGTAGAAACATGAAATTTTTCATTTACAAATACTGATCAATTCCTTTCACAGAGATCTCAGCGAAAAATACAGTTTCGTAAGAACGTTGCATGAAAAATCATTATTTTTAATGATTTTATACATGAAATGTGTATTTATTGTCTTATTTTTATTATAATATATCCCATGGAGAATAAGAAATAAAAGCTTTGCAACAGTACAATTGTAGTTAATTTTGCTGATAACAAAGGTACTTTTAGGAGACGAGATGAAAAATCATATCTTTTCTTTACACAACTTGATGTGAATCTCAAAAGTTTGGCCAATAAATCTCAATTGAATTAATATGAACTTAAATCTTATCAAACGAGGGTTTTTTTCTCCTAAAAGTGGGGTAACTGTAATACAGTTGGGTAATGATAAAAAAAAAATCGTGAATAATTTATGATTTTTTTTAAAAGCAGAATTTAACTTAGTTTAGCCGCTCAAATGTCCTCTTTAAATCGTTTTAATAATGACAAACTTTCTTAAAAATTAAAGTAAATTTTATCTAGTTTACAGTGAAGTGATTGTTAATTACATAAATTAAATATTTCTATAGTTATCACTTCCTATTCAACAAAAAGCATGACTCTCTTAAAAACCCAAAACTTGAATTTCCTACTTTTCTGCAGAAGTTGAGAAAAGGGCAATATTAGTAACATAGCTTCAATTCAAATTTGTAATCAAATCAAATCGATCAAAATTTTTAAAAACTATTTTTATCTAAACTATGATTTTTATTAAGAGCTGTTTTTATTTTTGATTATAAGTGACAAAAATCGTAGCATGATCATAATTTTTGAACAAACTTTTTACTATTAAAAAAAAAGTAATTCTTGAATAATATGTTTTTAAATCAGAAATAATTTTTTTTGTAATCTCTATAAGAGTAGTAGGTAGAAAATATTGTAAATTAAATTATAAAATAAGTAATTTGCTGATTTATCTTACAAACCAGTGAAAATTAGGTTAAGCTCACTTGAGGGTTTATACGCGACTTTATTTCATCTATACTGTATAACATTGTTAAAAAAATCTGGTGCATACAACACACAACTTTCATATACAGCTCTACTTGAATATAAATTATCTTCTGGCAATGTTGGGCTTTTATAAAATTATTGAAGTGCATTTTTAACCGAGCTAAAGCTTAAACTTATAGTTAACAAATCACTAATACCATTAAAATAACAAAAATCCTATTTATTATATTAACAGTTGATTTTGGATTGTACGACTATTAGTTATTAAACTGTTATTTTCCATTGCAAAGTTTACTAAAATGGAATTATGAGATTTGCATTGCCTATCATAGATAGGTCAAAACTTGTCACCCTACTTGTAAGTGGATATTGTTGGAGTATCACAAAGGGAAAATTCTCACTCAAATGTCAAATTATTCACTAATTTAATTTTCTAAAAGTTTGCATGATGATTTTTCAGAATAAACAGACAATAGATACCTAATTATTTCAATATAATATCAGATCTAGAGTTAATAAACTAAAGTAAATGTATTTAAGGTTACATATCTATGAAATATTTTACATAAACATAAGCTCATTGATGATTCCGAGAAGAAATTATTGACTAATCATACGGTAAATTTTCCAAGAATATTTGAACTCATAAATTTATACTAAATTGATAAGCCGTTAAGGCCTAGAGTAAGTAAATAAAAGGACGCATAGAAAAATTTGCAACATTTTATAACAATTCATAGTATTATTTAAATAATACAAATGACTATTCTCTGAAAAATTTGTTGAAAATAAAAGAAAAATGTAGTAACTTATGTAGAAAAATGTGAAGACATTGTTAGATTCAATTTTAAGTCTCTTTTCAATCAGTCTCTTGAAATTGGCTTCTACTTTCTTTTACTTCCGATAATCAAGTCAATGAATGATTATAAAAGGAAATGCCGGAGACACAATTTTTGACTTTGGGACATTGTTTGTATTAGTAAGGAGGTAAATATACTAAAAGTCATCACTGCTAGGTGGTGACCCAGATGTGTGGAGGGGGGGGGGGGCAACGTCTAGAAGGTCACTTTTTTGGGGTTTTTGCTTGCATCAGGAAAACTCGCATCGACAAAGATGTTCTATACAAAATTAAATCTAATAAAATTTGAGGTATGCCAATAACTACTACTTAATAATAATAGGGATTTAGGTCAACAAATAACTACTTAAATATTTTTTTCTCTGTTTCTATAGCTTAATTTATTTTTTTATGATATACCCTTAAATATAATTTATTAATAAAAATAATTCATTTCCATTTTTCTTATACAATTTTATTTTTTAACCATAATCTATATAACCATAATAAGTACATGATCAAGATAGGTCCAGAATTCCAGCTGATTTTGTCTTATGTTCTTGATGTAATTGTCCTTTGACTTTCTGCTGAGCCAACAGAATGTACAATTAGCACGGGCTCTGATTGATAAAAGCGATAAGCCAGAAAAGAAAAAATGGTCATGAAAAATGCCATTATGCATGAATCAATTACAAATTCAAGAGTCTGAAAACAATAATTGGTTTTGGAGATCATGAAGTTTATCAACATTCATTAAATATCAAAATAATTTCAGCGAAGCTTTCAAGTTCTCATGACTTTAAATTAAAAACTAATTTTTTTAAAATTAAAGAAAAGAGTAGACTTAGTTAACTTTTGAAACTATTTTTGCAGTAAGAGCAAAAAAAAAAAAAAAAAAATTAAGAAGAAATTCAGAGAGCATTATAGTGATATATTTTTTAATTATTAGCCTTAAATAAAGCTTCCTATTTTAACATCAGTAAAGCTTGGATTTAATAGCAGCATATGATTTATAATTTAAAAAGATAATATATTGTCATTGTTTAAGTGTTTAAGTGTTTAATTATTAAATTATTTTTTTCCATTTTGGATAGCTTCAGCACAAAAGCTGTGATGCCAGTGGTGTAAACAGCAAATCTCTAATTTCAAGAATTATTAAATATTCCATCTAGCTAAATAATATGATATTTTGCTGTAGAAAACTCAAGAAAAAAAAGAAATAATTAAAGCTTTCCTATTAAACGATAAAAAAAAAAAAATACTATCTGATTTAGTAAAATTATCATTACTTACCAAGTCATTGATTCCAATACCAACTATGATACATGCTACTATATTTCCAAGTGATACAGTTAAGAACCAAAGTGAGGTAACTAAGGACTTCATATTTATTGGACTCTGAAATGCATATCAACTATATTATAGTTGTAAAATTATTTTAAGGTGAAAATGTATAGAGTGAATACCTGTGTATAAGCAAAGTTTGTCCCACTAACAACAAACAAAATTTCAGCACAAACAAGAACAATATATTGCGGAAGTTGCCAGACTATACTCAACTGAAATTCACTTTTGTGAAGCTGTAATATTTAACAGTTAATTTAATTTTAAAAACAAATTATATCATGAATTATTAAAATCCTGTCTAACCTCTATTTGGCTCTGGAGTAATGCAGCAATAAGAAATGTGACACACATCAGGAATCCTCCAGCAGCCATTCTACATAATAGAGACTTGCACAAGCCAAATTTACCCAGAACAGGGTATATTCCTCTCTGGAATATTGGAACAGCTATAAGTACAAGCAATGAGCTTAATGTAGTCATTTGATCAGGGTCTATTTTAAACCAATTCACTATTTCACCATTTAATTTCCTGGCTTGAAACGTCCACCTCGAACTCTGAAAATCAGTAGCTACCAATAATAAAGAAATATTATTATGCAATTGGATGACATTTAGAAGAAGGGAACCGATCCATAAAATATTCAAAAACGAGTCAGAGGTGGTTTTAAATGGGACAAGTCTTTACTATCAATGCCAGTCTTAGGGTGGGGCAAATAGAGCTATTGAACCAGGGAGTGGAGGAGAAGGGTAACTTAAAGCAGCAGTGGCGGCGATTGTGGTCCTGACCAATCTTTACGCTTGCCACTTGTTGGAAATTAAAAAAAAAATCAATATCTAATAAAATAATTAATTTTAGCCTATCAATAAAGCCACTGTATTACAGAAATGTTGAATGAAATGCTATTTAAATATTATGTAATATAAAACAGCTTAAGAAATGAATTAAATTTTTTGGGAGAAAGGAGGAATGGTGTCATTGCCCGGGGGCACTGAGTCTAAGGCCAGCACTGTTTACTATTTAAACATAAAAGAAAAATCTCTTGGTTCAGGAATCTTTAATAGGAAATTGTGTTGGAACAAAAATATTACAAATAGAATTGTTTTCTTTATTTGGAAATTAAAAAATACCCAATTAACAAAGTTAATTGTTGATCAATAAACTATAATAGCAATAGTTTGGGTTGGATAAAATTTAAGATTAAATTAGAAATAATAAAAAAATGTACCACTACAACTCATTGAGGGTCTGTATCTGATCTGTTTCCAGAGAAGGTTTGGGATTCAATACTTTGAAGAAACAACTGTTTCTTGTTCAACAGGTGTGAAAAGAGGTGAATTGATTGAGATCATGCTCAAAGACCAAGTTTTTACTGTTAATTATTTAATTAAGAGTATCCACTTCTCAGTGGCGAGGTGTGCCTTAGGAGTCTTCTAACCTCAGCAGCGATCCACACCTGATGTAACAGAACAAATAATTTTGCCACAGTCAGACTCAAACCCAGAACTTTAAGATTAGGAATGCAGTACCTGACTCACTAAGCTACTCTGTTTCCATAAAATTTTGGGTTAGTGACGAAAAATTTAATACAATTATTTGAAAGCTTCCTATATTCCAAAGCTCTAAAGATGTGTAATATAGACTGGTTCCCTTCTGCTAAATTGTCATGAAATTAATATTAATATCACCAGAGCTAACCTATTATCAAAATTATAACTACAGAAAAGAAAAATCTTAGCATTTTACACCAGCCAACAAAATAAATATGTTTCCTTTGATCCAAACCCTTTGGAAAATTTGGCGTTTCAGGCCTGTCAGAATATTTTAATAAAGATAAAACCTCATATTAAAAGCCACTTAACTGTACTACTTCTTTGATGGCTCTACAACTTATGAAAAGTCAAGTCCTCCCTCAATCAGAGCCACCAGTATTCTGTTTTGTTTTATGCAGCAAAAGTTTAGTTTCCTAAACAGAATGTTACCTCTCAGTTGGCACTGCAACCCACAAATGCAGCAATTTTCTGACATCAGTGGATTCTTGATTTTGCTATCAATATTATTATTTGAGTTCACAATGCAATCAAGGTACTTAAAATTGTTCACATTTTCAAAATTATATTTTACAAATTTAATCAGTTCTCCCAATCATGCAAGCTGTTTTGTGGCTATTATACTTTATTTTGATGCATTTATGATGAGTTCGATTTTCTTTGCACCATATTCTGATGCAAGGAACGCCTCCTTGACATCTGTCTGGGACATTCATTGGACCACATAGGCCCCAAAATTCTAGTCAAAATCTTTCTTTTGGATCTCAATGAAGATAGTTATAGTGCTTTTGTCAGCATCCAACATTCTGATGAATATGTGAGGATGAGCCTAATTAGGATCTTGTAGATAGAAATCTTATCTTGTTGGTCTTACGACTTAAATGCTTCTGAAGCCCATAATAGCATATATTTGCTGCTCATATCATACCATATATACAGAATCTCTGGTTGCATATTATTGGTTGAATCCTACAATTTGTTTCAACGTAAATAAATTTCTCAACACATTCAAAGTTTAAGTCTTATTTTTTTTCTCTTCCTCCTAGATATATCTCCTCTTCTAGGATTGCAAAGGACTTTGCTTTGGACTCCTTTATCTGCAATCCAACTTAGCGTCTGTTTTGTGGAGATTTAGGAAGGTGCTCTCCATACTCAAAGAACTGCTTCAAACAGCATCCACATCATCGTTATAGGCTATAATTTATCACAATTTGTTAAAAATTGTCTCTCCTGTTTGGATTCCTAACTTTCTGATGGCACATTCCAAAACTAGATTAAACAAAGGTATGCTAAACCATCACCTAATCTGAGTCTCATGGCTGCCTGACCTGTGGCTATGGAAAAACTCAGAAGTTTTTACAGCTAAATTGCACTGTAACAAATTTAATCAAAACCTTTAAGAGTTGTTCTTAATAAAATTGTAAAAATGTGTAAAATCAATGATATGAAGTGATACTTCCAGTTAATTGCTTTAAAGGGAAATTTTTCTGTAGCATCTCAGGAATATGTAAATCTCTTAAATACGTAATTTCAGTGTTGTACAACTCTCCTTTCTTGAGTTAAGCTGTTCAAATACTCACAAGATAAACATCCTAATCATTATATGAAAATTTGTTTATTTGGACTCAGAAAACATCATAACATCTATTTCTATAGAACTCGACTATGGGATTTTAAGGATCACAATACTTTCTCTTACTATATATTTAAACACAAAAAAAAAAAAACAATGAAATCTGAAAAGGTGAAATTGAGTATTATTCATGATGAATTAGGTATGGAAAATCATTATTCATCTTATTACACTAGTATCTATTGTTGCAACAATTAATTTAATTTTTCAACGTAATGACAAGCCCTAGGGCTTTTTTTAGTTTTTGATTTCCACTTTTGATTTCCAAATTTATTAAATATTGTAAATAAATCTTTTCCATTAAAAAAAAATTATAACTTTCAATAAGTACCTGTTTATCATTTAAGGCCCAAAATATGATTGCTGGTGATATTACTGTAAAGATACGGACAATAATTTTAGAATCCTCAATCAATTCTTGTGAAAATTTATCGTCAGCATGGTCCAACCAATGATTTCGATGATCATGAGACTTTATTTTTCTCCAAAGTCCATACTGCAAAGGATTTAATATTTTTATTTGTATTTTGTTTTTCCTTTTACGTATATTGAGAGTAAATAATATTTAAAAAATTGTAAAAGAATGTATTGTGATGCATCAATGTTCACTTACCACCGTTTCATTTCAGTAAAAATTCATTTTTTAAAACCTAACAAACCTTAAGAATGTTACTTTAATTATAAATATAATTACTTAAGACAAAAGTTTAGGTAATAATATACTGTGAACAGTATATTTTTGGTTTATCAAGCTGAAAAATACTAGTTTTCCATACATTTATTTTCTACAGAAACATTTATTTCTCATTCATTAATATAAAAGTAGACATTCTTAACTTAGTTAGTTAGTAGTAGTTAGTAGACATTCTTAACCCATTATTAGCTTTTGTCATTCGATAGATTAGATTAGAGAATGTGATACCTGAGTATGGGTTTTAGAATGCCTGGATTTAATTCCCACCTGGGCCAGTTAATATTTATATTGAGGTATGTCATTATTTTTAATATAAAATAATTCCTTAATTTTAGAATGGACCCTTCTCATCATTGTTGACCAAGGTCAACCTAAGAGAAGGGCCCACTCTAAAATTAGGGAATTATTTTATATTAAAAATAATGATAAATCTTATGGATAAATGAGAGAACATAAAGATAATAGTCTGAAGATGGAATGTAAAATCTCGAAACGTTACATGTAAATAGATAAAAGCAATTTTGGGAGAGAAAAGCTGCCAGATTTTCATATACCTCATTACAAAATAATCTCCCTCAGCACTTAAGAACAAAAATTAATATTTATTTTTTTATTACACTGTGGCAACAGAAGTAATTTAAAAGTATAAAAAAGAAACTAATATAAATAATTAGAATAAGAATTAGTTGCTTATATTGTGGAAAAACCAAAACAGAAAATTAATGTGGTAAGAAAAAGACATTTAAAAAATAAATAAAACTAAGAAAATATAGAATGGTAAAAAAAAAAATATATATATAGAAATGATAAGAAAATTACATTTACATACAAGAAAAAATTAAGAAATTATAGATAAAAGTATAATCAATAAAAAATTACAACGGAAGATCCTACATTGAAGTAGAATCTACTATAAAAATAAAATGAGAGATCAGACAATACAGAAATAATTAGAAAAATTGAAGAACGGTTAAATTAAATTAATAAATGAAAATGGATAAAAAATAAGTAAGCAAGAATAATAAAAGATATAATATAGAAGCTATTTTTAACTTATTGGATTCAAAATGTGTCTATACCTTAAGGGAATACAGTTTTTATCAACTTTGTGATTAACCGGATTCCGTTCTGTGTGGATGTGGATGTGCTGAGAGACTCTGGCAAGAATGGAGGTTTTTTCAAGAACAAAAGAATGATTGAGGATCAAGGCATGTTCTGATACTTAGGAAATGGAAAGGTTCCGGGAAGTTATGGATGTTTTATGTTGGGAAATACGGGTTCTGAGATGGTTTTTAGTTTCACCAATATAGGAACTATTGCAATTAGGAGTAGAGCAAGGTAGTCTGTTAACTACATTGGATCAATGTTGTAAAAGTATAAGATCCTTTAAGTTGGTGAAAAAAAAAGATAGTATGTTATGAGACATAAGGCAGAGACGTAAGTTGCTACTAATTTTAGAATTAGTGAGTGGGTTGGGTTACGAGGGGAACGTAAGTAAGTAGATGGTTGAGGTAGGATTTGTTGTACTTAGTCTAAGTATTCGGTCTTGTCCATAATAGAATTTCTCTTATCGGCCTTTTTCTGAGATTTGTTAATAATTATGTCTATTATCCATCCTCCATATTACATTCAATTTTCCCAATCTACAATCATTGTTACCAGTTTTATTTACTTTAGTTGAGGGTCTGGTTACTTAGTTATACTTTGTTTGCTCTGTCTATACAGTTTTATTGTTCTTAATATTTCTTTGTACTTTCTAGTCACACTGTTTATAATTTTAATAAGTGTATTCACACTGGTTATAATTTTTATTTGAATATGATGTAACTTCAACATTTTTTTATATCCTTTTGTATCTTGGTCATTCTATCCCTGAAGAAGATCTGCAAAAGTTGTGTCGAAACATTGGCTTGGAATAAAATATTTTTTTTTTACTATTGTAGTCTTTTTATGACCACCATTTCAGATTATCTTCCTCCGCATTAAAATATAGAAGTTAATAATATACGCTGGCAGAACTATAATTCTGCATTTTGCGTTTTCCAGCAGTTGTAATAAATGGAATTTTGAGAAAATTGTGAAGAGATATAAAAACTTTAGTGAAAAGGAGGGAAAACCCTCCATAAAAATCAAGTTAATTTTTTTTTATTTTCATAAAAAGCTTTATTATAGGGATTCCAAGAATGATAAAAACGAATCTGGTTTGCTTTTTGTAACAATAATTTACTTGGCCTGCTCTACAAGAGAGGTTTTATAGTTTTTGCGATTTCAACAAATCTTTAATTTGATAAATATAGATTGACATTTTTCAAGTTTTATAATTTTATGGATCTACAAAATATACTAAATATGTACTAATAATAGTGAAATAATAATGAAAAACTCACACCTAGGCAACAAAAGAACTGCGAGACAACATTATGATGTGCTTCCTTGATCGTATACCATTTCTTTCCCATTGTGATTATTGCTAAAATTTTAACAATAATACCATTAAACTTCAATTGTTATTAATACTTATATCTATCAGGTAATTTAAGGATTACATGTTTTTAAAACATGTGGGTATTTCAAATTTATGTTGTATATCTGATATATTTCAAATACTTGAGAATTCCAATCCAGAGTGGAGTAAAAATAGTAATATGCATATTTTCAATTTATAATAAATTAAGTGAATAAAGTTAGAATACATACTCTGAAGGAAATTCACAAAAAATAATTTCATATTTCTTGAGAAAATGCTCTTTTTTTATGTAAGTACAACCTAAAAGGATTTAAGGTACATGGTTAAGGAAGGTAAGTGTGCTTGTTCCTTCTCCTGTAATAATGAAGACATATAAAAAATGTTTGCTTCCTTCCGCTAACGGATCCAGGTTTTTATTTTGGGAGAGGCTTCAGCCCCAAAGATTTTTTTTTTTTTTATGTATATATTATGATAATTACTTCAGAAGAAAGAAAGAAACTAAGTACCTATATGAAATAATGTTTAAGTGATTCTTTAAGTTCTATTAAGTATGCCTAAAGGAACAATAATACTTTTAGAGATCATTTTTTTCATAAAGATGGTTATAATTTATCATTTTGGGGTGGGAGGGCATTTGTAGTACTTCATATAATAAAAGAAAGTTTTAAAAATTATTTATTTTATTATATAAATATTCAGTATTGATATATTTTGGATATAATTGATTTGTGCAACTATAACATTTTAGACATGTCCTTTGTTAACTGTTTTTAGTAGATTTTAGGAGATTGATAATAAAATGTTCCAAGGAGATTATAATAATATTTATTTGTCATCCATAAACCTTAAATTTTCAACACAGCCTATGATTCCGTGGACTGGAACTGTCTTTGGAAAATAAAAATTGAAGTGGGAGATATTGAGTATGGCATGTACAAATGACCCTAAATGTCGAGATCTAATATAAGGAAAATTATCAGAAGCCAAGTCAATAGTTCCTTCCTCTTTGAAACAAGTTCTAATGGTTTTCATTGAGTAACTTCACTTTACTTACATCCACATGGAGCACCTGCTCAATTTTTGAAGAAATAGCATCTGGTGAGTTTTAATCGTTTTTTCTATTATATTTAACTAATAATAATGAGATAATAAAAAATAGTAATAGTGAATTATATACAAAAGCACACATAAATAATGAATTTATACCTAGAGCTAAAACGATGGTGGATGTGGAAATAGTGAAGGCCAAGGAATAACAATGAATATTTCCAAAGCAGTGTACTTGTGATCTGATTAATGGGGAAGTAAAGCAAGCAATTACACTTCCAACGTTTATGCACCAATAAAATAATGAGAAAAATTCATCCAGTTCATGGTTCTGTTCAGGAATAATGAACTGATCAGCACCAAAGGGCACCACACATGGCTTCAAAGTTCCGGTGCCAATAGCTATTAACACCAGACCCACCATACAAATCGGTCTGAAAAGTTTAAATTAGAATTATCAATTACAATTTAGACTCATGATCTACCAAGGTTTTATTATAATAATTTTATAGACCTAAATGTAGGGAAGGGATTTGAATTTGAGTTTGATATAAATAGAAACATAATTTAAAATATACATTTACTGCATAAAAATGTTATAAAATATTTTATTCAAAATATTGTCCATTGCTAGCTTTGGCAATTTATAAATTCCATCACAGAAAAACTGTTGTTCTGTTGTGGTAAACCAGTCATTAGGCCATTATCATAAGAAGTTTTCTTGCTGTCTTTCATTCAGTTCATGTGGAATCCATTTTCCCAAATTTTGGATATTTTCCATGGCTTTCAGACTTGATCCAATTGATCCACGAGTTATTGTTGGGTTTGAATGTCATACTCATCCAATAATGTCTTCAAATTCGTTTGGTGGTCTTCCATGTTCTACATTTCTTGTGTCAAAATCGCCACTTTTGAATTTTTGAAAGCACTGTACCAAGAGCACTAACCATAAGCTTTGACAAAAACTAATCCTGTCTACAGTCATAATTTGTTGACACAAAAATTGACATATTCAACACTATTAAAATGAAGCTGTTTTAGAGTTGAAAATCATTGTCAGCAGTATAAAGAAGCAAAGTGGTATCAATAATGCAGTTTGACATTAACTACATTAACAACTAGAGCTCAATGGATGAGTTTCAGTTTCACATTTACACATTTGGTATATATATATATATATATATATATATATATATATATATATATATATATATATATATATATATATATATATATATGTCTATATACACACTTGTGAGTTATCTAACTCAATTAAATAAATATATTGGATCGATATTCAATACTTTTTATTTTATTTTTATTACATTTAGTTATAATTTCGTAATTATTAAACATAGTATGATGAAAAACATTGAAAGGGTGGTTGTAACTTATCTAAAATTTGATTCTGAAAGACTTTATTAAAAACAGTAATGTAGACTCATAGAAAAAAAAATTAATATACTCAACTGATCTTAGGAATCATGCCAACAATTTTTGTTTGTTGTACATTTGTGTTTTTCATTGGAACTTAAACCCTCAATGAACATTCCAACCATATTTTTAAAAACAATAATATAAAAATCTAGTTTATGCATTATAATAGTTTGTACTTATTTGTTTTAGGTGAAATTATTTATTTATTAAGTATTGCAACACTTGTGCATTAGTTATAGTGAGGTAGGATAATATTAAATGTACAAAAAAATATAAAATAAATAGATGTAAAATAGCAATAAATAAAAATCAAAAGGTATATAAAATAAAATAACTTAAAAATAAGAAAATTAAAACAAAGCAAAAAACACATGCATACCTATATACACTATTTACAAACAGGTGAGGGAACTCAGAGGCAGGCTTGTCTCTCCAACTATGGAGGGAAAAGTTGGACTCCAGGAGAACCCTGCCCTACTCTCTCAACCACATCAGTGATACTAAAGCCAGTGGAGTGTAGTAGATATCCCCCCAGAATTTACACCTTTATATGACATTAGGTGAGGTAATGAGAAGGAATATATAGGAATATGAGATTGAACTATGAATCGTACTCAATTGTGCAGTGGACAAATTGTTCATTGAAAAGTCTCATATCAATAAACAATCGACGAAGAAGGAAGAAGCTTGAAAAATGACCAAGCAGGTTGCAGCAGCTGGAGAAGGATGCTGGAGGGAAATGAAGGTACTTGTGGCATGGGCATGAAGGCGGAACTATGTTACCTGAGAAGAGTAGCCTACTACACTGAAGATTAAGAATATAAAGCTTACAGTCATAACACTTTAATAGATTTATTTATTACAGTTGTCAAAATAAATTGTTTTGTTATACAGGAGTAAAAAGTCATTTATTTATTTAGTTGTCCTATATGCCTCACAATTGAAGAATAGCAAACCAGATGAGTCAATTCATTCAAAGTGTGTTTACTCAGTCCCACATTTCATATATATATATATATATATATATATATATATATATATATATAGATAGATAGATAGATAGAAAGTAAACTTTATTCTGGGACAAGGTCCCTTATGAATAACAGATATGAACAAAAAAATTAAAACTACATCTGGCCAAAAATTACATTAATCAATATTAAAGAATATATACAGTATCTTCAGTGAAATTAAATTAAAACAAGTAAAAATAAAATAAAATTTTGAGAAAAAACGAAATAAAACAACAACATTATTTAAATGAAAATAAAAATAAAATAAAATAAGCATGGGTTGATTTTTAAAATTAAGAATTTTATTTAAAGTTCTAAAATTTCTATAAATTTAAATTATTAAATATATATATATTTATTCTTATTATTTCTTGTCACTAAATGTCACAAAAGCATTAGGTTCCCGAATCCCCAATGACAGTTAAACACCCTCAAAAAGTCTATATCCAGTCCGTGGGTTTTGTTTTAATAAAATTAAATTCACGAGTGTAAATAACCTAGTCCTCCGACAAAACGAAAGGCCATTTACAATTTTCTCCAAACGGGTTATTTACAATAGGCGCCCGAACAGAAGTAAACTTTGAATGAATTGAGTCAATTGTGAGGCATATAGGACAACTAAATAAATAGATTTGATGTTAGAAAATTTTGCTATTTCCCACAGGTCTAGTTTATAAGTCCAAATACATTTTAGTATTGTCTTATAGATAAGTAACTTGTTTTCAATATAAAGTTTAGATTTTTTGTTTATTAGTCTGTATAGTTGGACAGGACATATCATAGGTTATGTTCCTGTTTTTTAAGTATAGTATGATGGTTCCGCGTTAGTCGTCTGTCTAAAAGAAAGCCAAGATACCGGACTGTATCTTTGAAAAGAAGCTGGATGGTGTTAAAGTAAAATGGTAGACAGGATTTATGACAAAGGGTGAAGGTAATGTGTTTACATTTGAATTCATTTATCTTAGTGTGCCATTTCTTTCACAAGTATTCAATCAAGGAGAGGTGCATTTACTGGTTTAATGATGCTGTTTTAGGATATTAGTTGATTGAAAAGAAAGCTGTCTCATCAACGAATGTTGCCATCAGGGTATCGGAAAAGACAGGAATATCTGCAGTGAAAAGAATGTAAAGCATGGGACCCAAGACGCTGCGCCCTGCGGAATTTTCACTTTAATTAAATAACAGTCAGAGAATCGAGTACTAGAGATCGGAGTATTAAATATAAGGACTGTGGTAGATGGAATTTAATCTTGAAGAGCAGTCCAGCATGCCATACCTGTTTAAAAGCCTGTGCTAGGTCCAGAAATGTACCTGAACAACATTGCTTCTTTTCTAGGGCTGAGGATATATGGTCAACAACTCGGATTCCTAATTGGACAGTGGATGTTGGGAACGAAATCTGAATTGATGGGTAGGCATTTTATGAGATTCTATTATGGATTCTTTTCAGTAGGAACTTTTCAAAAATGTTTGATAGGATTGGATGTAGGCTAATTAATCTATTGGATGATGTATTGTTGGCAGGTTTGCCTGTTTCAGGAAAAGGAGGATGGTGGAATGATTCCATAAGAGAGGAAAATGGGTAGTTCTTAAGATGGAATTATAAATATACGTAAGGAATATGATAGCTTTGAGTGGAAGTTGTCGAAGGATCTGTGGAATTGGGAGATCGTATCCAGGAGATTTATGAGAAGTGATATTACATAAAAGGTATTCGACATTAGATGGATTAACTGCTATAATAAGGAGAGTGGAATTGGTGAAGAGAGGAATTCTTCTACTTTTGCGGCATGGATTGGATGGGATTCTGGATGAGGAGTGAATGTACTGGAGAGGTTTCTGACAAATTCCTCAGCTTAGTCTTCATCAGACACTGACCAACAGCCATCGCATCGACGAAGGGGATGGGAAATGTAATGGGATTTTAGGATTATTTCGGTGGTTTTCCAGAGGGAATTGAACAGAGAGAACAGTAAGGTAGGAATCAAAGGATTAGGATCTGAAGGATGATAATTCTTGCTTTAATAGTTTACAATAATAATTTTAGGAGCGGTTATCGATGGGATGTTTGGTATGTTGCCATAATAATCTGGTATGGGGTTTGGTGTGGATTAGGCCTATGAGGTGTTGGGGTAAACTATTTTTCTTAAGGGTTCTTGAGGAATAATTTGGAGAGGTAGAGCTGTCCATACTGCTTGTTGAATGGTGGTGGTAAAGGAATGTACACCATTGTCAAGATCTTCTGGGTTTTTCAAGATTATTCTGAGGTCAATTTTAACTGAAAGGATCTGATGAAAAAGTTTTCAGTTAACTGGACCTCTGATGAAGGGTGGTGGAGAGGTTTTAGAAATAGGAGCTAGAGATAATTGGAGTATTAATGGACTATGATCTGAGGAAAGTTCATCAAGTCGGGTAAGGGAATGATTAAGGGGACCTAAACCAATGTATAAATCGATAAAAAAAATCGAGGATATCAAGATTGCGGTTAGGTTCAGTTGGCCAGGAGGTAGATGCAACTCACTACTAGAGGAAGGAGACTGAACCTTTGGTAATTGAGTGCAGATAGCAAGGATCCACCATGAGAATTTGTGGTTCTTGAACCCTATTTTTAATGCTTGGTGTTAAAGTCTGCACCCAGGATGAAGTGATGTCCTAAGGAGTTGAGAAGAGAACTGAACTGGAATTGGATATGGATCTGTTAGGAGGGCAATATGTTGATGCACTGGTGATGGGAAAGGAAAAGGTTTTGATTACGATGGCGGTGGATTGAAAGTAATCTTGAGTAGGTAATGGGAGTAGGTGATGGCAGAGGGATTAGTGTACAATGACAGCAGTGCCAACATGTGCTCTGCTGTTAGGATGGTTAGTATGATGTGTCAAGTATTGCGGTATTTTGCAGAGTTGTTTAATGGTTAGTTGAGATTCAGTAATTAGCGCCACATCAATGTTCTTGTCAAGTAGTAAAATATATAGTTCGTCTGTATAATATCTAACACCATTCATATTCCAAAGGAGAATGAATATGGGTTTTGGGGTTTGAGTCATTTAAGGACTTTTCAAAGAAGGAATGATGTGAAATACAAGATTTGTGACGAGTGATATGAGAGGTGTAACAAGGGATTTGAAATCGGTGTGGAAAGATGCCAACAAACTTGTGAGATCTGTTGCATTTGAAGGAAGGGGAACATGATGAATTTGTTGTTGATGGTTAGGTATATTAGGATGAATAGGATTTTGAGGTTGTTGTTGCAGCAGTGCTTGATATTTATCGGATGATTTCTTACCTCTAAGTAGTTGGGAGAATGATACACTATTGTTCACAATTCTATTCTTAGGGTCTTACTTATTACTTGGCCTTACTGCTTCATCTTGAATCCAGTTTTTCTGGTGTCTGGATTTGATATTCTTGTAAATTTGGCAGCCTTTGTAGTTGGCCGGGTGTTCCTCCAAGCATAGGGCACACACTGTGGGATCTTGTATCAGTTTGGTGCACTCCACAGATTTGTGCTGTTCACCCCAATGCGGTAGATGGTGACAATAAGTCTTTTCGTAGCCGTACGCCTGACAATTATGGCACTGCACAATTTCTCTCATGGGGTGTGGTTTCTCTACTTTCACCACCATAATAATAAAAAGTAAGGCTGTGTTATTAAAATTTACTAGGACTGGTACCTGATGACCTTACCTTAATATATCCAATTTTAATTATAAAATAACCTCATTATATCTTTTGGTCCACTTAAATTGATTTATTAATTAACAAATTGACTCAACCCAATTAGGGTTATAATTCATAAAATGTTGGTTTAAAGATGACTAATACCACCATAATAGCATATTAAATGTGGTAGCGTATGTGAGTTTATTGTGAGTTTATCTTATAGATGGCGTGAAAATGGCATGCTAGCCAAAACATCTTCATATGTAAAATATAAATAAATGTGCTGAAGTAAAAACACAGGCTTACTTATATTATTATCTATTTTATGCAGTGCTATAAAGAATAAATTCTGATAGTCAAACAGATAATTTTTCCTTGATAAATCATAAAAGCAAGGTTATGATAAGATATAATAGTAAAGTAAAACCTTAGTATTCTTGAGTCAGAAGCAGTGTACCAGTGTAAATCCAGTCTGAGCAGATCGATAATTACTTTGTGGTGGACACCCAGAATAAATCTTGGCCGTCTAACAGTATATAATAGGCTGATTACGTGTAGGATAGTCCGTTATTTTTGTCATAGTTGGAATAAACATGGTTATTACATTCTTTCTTCAGGATCAAGTTCAAATTGAAAAAATTCAATAATTTCTATCAAGGTTTCAGCATTACAATTATGAAAATAAAATTGAAATTTTAAAAGGAGAGGAAGCTCTCATTAAAGAACTCATATTAAATTAAAAAGAAATTCAAATTAAATATTTCAAAAGTTTTTAAAGTAAAATATCATATAAAAATTAATAATTAGAATTGTTTTTAAACATATTCAAAGGATTAGAAATGTGAAATAGAAAGAACACATTAAAAATGTTTTCATCATCATTATTCAATATTTCAAATATGTGTCATACAACTAAGATTGAATTTCCGAACAATTGTCTATACTATTTAGTTCTTGATCAGTGTTTAATTTAACATTTCTGCAGTGCATTATTATTATTAATGAAAAATGATGAATAATCATAAAAATATTCTGTAAACACAAAATTCTGAGGTATTATATTTCTTTAAATGTGAAAATAATAATTGAAAAATTGTATTAACTTACTTTCCAGGAAGGGATATCTGTGGAGCTACTGAAGAGATTGTCAATATTACAACTCCTGCCACATATATACATGATAAGTAAATTATTGTCCTGAAAAAAAAGTTACTTAAGTTTTTTTTAATATTATACAATGAAGATATTTATTAACTTTTTCAAAAATAAAAAATTTACTTTGTTGTCATAAAATGTAATGCTCATGTATGTTTTGTCTTTGAAGGTGCTAAAGTGTATTCATTAATGAATTCTGTTTGAATAAAAAATAAATAAAACGTATATTTATGTTTATATTAATTATTATTATATTATATTACTAATACTAAAATAAATAAAAAATATATTTACAAATTAATTTATATCTGGGTTAAAATTAAAATCGAAATGGAAAAATTAACATTGTAGAATGGAAATATGATATTTGAATTAAAAAATATTAGTATTGGCTTGGAAATGCTATCTACATGTGTATACAACTCTCTAAATTCTGAAAATCTGTTGTTCAGGGCAAATTCCTTCTTTGTCTGATCTATATATAGCAAAGGTAGCACTGGAGCATCTACGAGAGGAGGAGGGGAGGCTTTCGAGCTGAAACTCCTCCAAATTGGAAAAAAAAAATTTTTTTCATTGATCCAGATTGGTCACTGTGTGATCTAAGCTAAACACCTAAACAAAATTCTATTTTGTAAATTCGTATACATTTACTAAATATTACCATGTCTTATGAAAAAAATACTAAATAATCATCTCTAAAAGCATTATTTGATCAAATGCCTTAGTTGCGAAGAGTTTAAAACAGACTCTGGCAGGAAAGGGCTTTCGAAACCATTTAAACAGAAGTGGTTTCGAGTGAAGGCCTCCACCTCTAGGAATTTTCCATTCCTATCCACTCTATCACCCTTTTTAATTAAGGACATTTTAGCTAAAAGTGCAAGTTGCTCATCTTGATTATCTTTTGTGAGTTCTTTCAGTAATAGTTACACCCTTCCAATGATTCAACTTTTAAATTTAAATAAGGAGGAGTGTTGACATGACTCCTCCCATCGATATTATAGAAGTTCAGTGGAAAATGGTTTATAACTCCTTCTTCTGTACTCATGATACCTCATATATACATATATATATATATATATATATATATATATATATATATATATATATATATATATTTTATTTTTTTTATTTTTAGCCCTCTCTTTCCTCTCCTTTAGGCTATATGAGGCCTTCTAGGGCCAGGGAATGAGGGTGAAGGATTACTGCTTGAGTTAAAAGCTCACCTGCGTACCGGAACACGAACTGTTCCTTATTTTATCTAATTATCTTTGATTATATATATATATATATATATATATATATATATATATATATATATATATATATACATATATATTTTATTTTTTTTATTTTTAGCCCTCTCTTTCCTCTCCTTTAGGCTATATGAGGCCTTCTAGGGCCAGGGAATGAGGGTGAAGGATTACTGCTTGAGTTAAAAGCTCACCTGCGTACCGGAACACGAACTGTTCCTTATTTTATCTAATTATCTTTGATTATATATATATATATATATATATATATATATATATATATATATATATATATATATATATATATATATATATATAATATATATATATATATATATATATATATATATATAGTATATATATATATATATATATATATATATAATATATATAATATATATATATAATATATATATATATATATATATATAATATATATATATATATATAGTATATATATATATATATATATATATATAATCAAAGATAATTAGATAAAATAAGGAACAGTTCGTGTTCCGGTACGCAGGTGAGCTTTTAACTCAAGCAGTAATCCTTCACCCTCATTCCCTGGCCCTAGAAGGCCTCATATAGCCTAAAGGAGAGGAAAGAGAGGGCTAAAAATAAAAAAAATAAAATATATATATATATATATATATATATAGTATAAATGAACACACTTAGCCTTGATACTTGTTGCCCTTCAATGTGGCAGATTGTATTATTTACTGTTCAATAGAAAAAAACAATTATCTTTGATCGGTGTTGGGCAACGCGCGATGCAGTGCACACGCATTAGTCCGCTTGGTTACCCCGCCCCCAAAACCTCCTGCAGCGGGACGCGAACTCGTAATCATTTTTCCATAACTTCGGTTATCAGGTTGCCGGGCAACCTGCGGAACTATGTTATCCTATCTCCCAGTGTGCTCATGATACCATTGGAAAAAAATTATTCCACCAGTCTATCAACTCTCTAGCTGGAACTCAATTTATGCAGAGTTGTTATTGTGTCACATATCTCCCTAATAGTCTTGCAAGATGAGGTGTATTCATCATTCGTAGGATTCAGGGTGTTCACCAAAATAAGCTGAGCAAGTGAGTCCTTTTTTTCGAACTGATCCTTATTGGAACCATCTGATAAATACTTTGGGTCACTTGTGACAACATCAGCTACTTTACGATGCTTCCTTGATCTACTTTACCTTGATCCACCAGTTTCTTCACAGAATCCTCGAAATCGATCGATCCAGATGAACATGTCAAAAAGTCGAAACTTGTATAGAAACAGTAGAAGCTGCAACTCGACTTAACACAGTAACAGGCCTTTCATACCGAAAATTAAAGACGCAGTATGCATTCATCATGGATGCAGGATACATGTGTGTATTGCATCTTGAAGGAAGGGCTTTCATACCAAAGATGCACGTGCCACTTCACCTTTTGTTTATATCCATTATCTCTGGTTAGTTTAGTACATGAGTTTGAAATATGAATAATTAATCATCCCAGAGGTGCCCACAAGGAGGTTTCATGGCTCAAGTAACGTCATCAAAATTTTTAAGGGTGTCACCGTTTTAAATTTTTGAAGAGAGCACATTTTGAAGAGGTTATGAATTTTCAGATTGAAAAGTTTTAAACGTGGAGACAAGAGAAAAGCATATTACAGAGCACTGAAATTGTACTCGTAATTGTATATAACCTATGATTCTTGTGCAATCAGAAGTAGACAAAGCCAGCATCCCAGCTGGGATAATGATACACAGCATAGCCCTGCTATTGTGTCTCAGTAATTACTGGACCATCTAGTAAAGTTTCAGGCGTATTATAAAATGGAGATTCGACTTTAAACAAGTTGTTAGACCTCCTGAAACCGTACTTAGAACACAACTTCAAATTAAAGTCTTAAAAGGAACTGGACGAGTCAAGCGTGAGCCAGTTGAATCAGGGATGGAGTGGAGCGGACCTAGAAGGAAGGGGCGAGTATGCAAGACTAGCACAACAAAGATGCACGCTGAAATCCTCTGCTGGCTTGTTCTCAAGAGGCAAGTGCTTCTTGCATCCAGGGTGCTGGATGCACTTGCATCTTCGGTGCGAAAGCTCTCGTTCACTTACATAGTTTAGTATTTTAGATGCATGCATCCTGCATCCAGGATCATACATTTTGCATCTTCGGTGAGACAAAGGATATAACAGTTCACTTAGCACAATTTAGACACTTTTGCACAATTGCCAAATTACAGTTCAGAGAAATTTGGGGCAATAATCTTCTGAGGAAGTGAATTGAGTAAAGCAGTTTTAATAAAAACAAGAAACAGTTTATTTACAAGTAAAAGTTGGAATGTATACGTAATGAACATTTCAAACACCCTAAATAACCTTCTCACTACTTAAAACTCACGGCTTTGGCCAAGGTCTATAAAACTACCAGGTTCGCTCACTCAGAAATGCGTGGTAGGGGGACTTATAACGTGACATAAAGACTAGACCGCCAGACCTATTACTCTTTCAAGCCTATCAATGAAGGTTTATCTCAACATTATTGTGTTTTTTTTCTTGTTTAATTTATTGAAAAGAATACTTTTCTGTGTTTTTGAGGTTTGATTGAAGATGATTTCAAATAAATAAATAAATTTTAAAAAATTTTAAAATAAACAAATTTTTACTGCAAATCCTGATATTTTTTTCATCCCTATGATTTTATATTACATATTACAAACATTTTATATTACATCAATTAAGAAAACCTAATGTGGCCCTTACTCGGTCAATATTGAGTTTCGTCAATATATTGACCGTATAAGGGCTACATTGGCATCAATTATATTGACGTCACTCAAACTGATTGATATATTTTTTTTTTTTTTTTTTTTATCGAAGCTCCTTCAATATTATTAAAAAAGTATCAATATAATTGCCCGTGTAATGGCTAGGGGATACTTTATTTTGACTTTTATTTTTATTTTTTTGGGCGAAAGGTCGTGTTTCTACATCGTCTCTCAGAATTTGCTTATTTTCCAGTGAAATCTTTGTCATTATTTATTCAAAACAAGTCAAGAGTACATAACAACAATTGATATTTATTGTTTGTTATAAATTACAGGGTTATTTTTATTTTTTTTTTATTTATTTTTTTTCCCCTTATATGCGATATCACCATCAGGCCATGTCTAGTAGAGCGTCTATCAAGAGAATTCGGCCGTTATGCTCAACACCTTGTTCTTCGCCTGTCAAACAAAAGCCTCGTCAATGTCGTTAAACACCTGCAGTAACGCCTATTAGCTCCAGAGAAAATGAAATCCAGCCAGGAACATCATCAAAACCAACAATTGAAGAACTTCAGCATCAACCAGGTACATCTTCACAAGAGATAACCGAACAATCTCCGTTTTTCACCCCTAATCCCTATCAGGTGCTTCAGAATGATAAAGAAGTGATGGAATCCGCTTCAATACCAAGAGATCCCCGACCTCCACCCATATTCGTTAAAAACATAAACAATTTTCAGTTACTATGCTCACAACTGAACAAAATAACAGGCTCTGGAAGCTATTCATGTCTAAGCAGAACAAAGGACACGAAGATATCACCAGATACAACTGAAACCTACAGAAAAATTGTGAAGTATCTAACGGAAACCAACGCGGATTTTCATACGTACCAATTACGGCAAGATCGAGCTTTGAGGGTAGTCATAAGAAATCTACACCCCTCAACGCCAACCGAAGCAATAGAAGAAGAATTGAAAAATTTCGGTTTCATAGTGCGCCAGATTACAAATGTACAGAAGGAGAG